TTTTCAGGACACGTTTGGTAAACAGGCAGTGGACTACACTATAGCGGTGTTCACCACTAAAAGGAAGGAAATCGACGCCGCTTTCATGCAGGAAACACTGAAATCCCTCAGAAGATTAACCGATCAGTTCCAGCAAAGATACTTTGTTTTTAACATTAGAGACGAACAACAAGGGTCTCAACTCGACGAGCTGCTGGGGATTATAAACAAGATGACGGGAGAAAAATGTCAACCTTTCTACACGTCTAAGATGCTCCAGGAGGCTGAGGAAGCTCTGAAAACACGAAAGGAAACAAAACCAAAGCCAGAAGAAGAGTGGCGCTCTTTTTATGACCGGTGTGGTTTGATTGGAATGGCTGTCGGCTGTGCAGCAGGGTATTTTATTTGTGGTGGCGAGCTGACGCCTACAACAGGAGCTGGGGTTGGAGCTGTAGCTGGTATGATGCTGTTCGTGGGAGTAGCGTTTTTAGGCGTACTTGCTAAAATTAAACTTCAGGCATGATGCAGATAGATTTCAGACAGCGTCAGTGATTTTGTTGCTTACGCTGATCTGACCAAATCTAGTCTAGAAACCATAAAGATGTATGTTTAGGTATTTTACTTTATTTTTGAGTAAAGTTCTTTATTCTAAAAGTTATTTGTTCAGTCGGCTGCTGACTGGTTGAGCTTTTCAAAACGAGTTAAACGCAGTTAAATGTTCTATTCCAGGAACAGTTCATAAGACAGAACCAGCGATTTGCAGCATAAACAACTAAATATTTTCTAGTTACTGCTGTTGCTTCAGTGTACGTGCAGGGAGAGGGTTCAGGGTTCAGCCTGGGTTTGCTTGAGACACACGTCAATAAATAAGCAACAAGATGCTTCAAATAATATTTCTCAAATTTTGGCTTTCACAGTCTTTCCTTTTGGGAGTCTGAAGCAGTTAAAATAGGATAAAAAGAGGTGGACATGAATCAAAGCCCTTTTACAGGACTGTTTCCTGATCCCAACTCTGGCAGAACTTTGACGGCATACTGAGGGAGGCTGGGAGTCCGAGCGGATGGTTGGTGCCTATTGTAGTGTTAATCCCCAAACCAGATGGTGTGCACCGAAGGTGAAGGGAGCCATCAAGCTGAAGGATCCTGTTGGGCTTGGGGACTTGGAGGCAGCTGCACATACTGGCAGAACAAGCAGAACAAGGCTCGGTCAGTGGCTGAACCAAAAACTGGATGCTGGAAGATTTCAGTTGGGCCACAGAACAAGACTTTCGACTTTCTTTGTGTGTCTTGAAGCATTTATAGCAAACCGTCAGCCAACTAAAAAGGGGAAAGCAGTGCTCTGCTCGCACAGTGTATAGCAGGATAGGATGGTGTTAACCTCAACTGAGGGTAAAGTCGGGCAGGTGAAGGAATGCTTTGAGGACCTCCGTAGTATCCCCAGTCTGGGGATAAGGGGGATAACTCGCCCCTCGCTGGTCACTGAGATAGTCAAACATCTCCACTGAGGTGACCAAGACTCAGCTCCTAATGGCTCTGGATGTTATAGGACTCTTGGTTGATACGCCTTCGCACATGGAGATCTGAGGGGGTGTCTCTGGGCTGGCAGGCTGGGGTGCTGCAACCACAGGGAGATCGCACACCTCAACCTCCCTGGGATCTAAGACTGGGAACTGGAAAACAGAGCTTGTTCGTTAATCAAAGCTACATACAGAATACAGGAAGACTGGACGCCCCCTGGGTGAGGTGAGCAGACCCAGAACACGCTGAAGAGTTTTCATCTCTGGATGAGATCGATTAGGTGGCTGGAGAAAGGTGCTTCAACTTTCACATGCTGTAAAAAAGTTTGGTGTTGTAAACATATATATAAACATAATCCATTACCTGTATTCTAATGCATGTAAGACAGCATTTCTACTCACATACACATGTAATCCAGTATTTGTACTCTTGTATCAGTATATGTTAGAGCATGTTCTGTAGTCCAGAGCATGAGCACATATAACACAGTCACATCTGTCCTGATGTGAACCCACAGGCTCGTGCTGAGTTTGGTAAACAGTCTAAATGATGTCTGACTGTTATTGTTATTGTGTGTTGTATTAAGTACCAGCTCTGCTTTGGAATTTGTGCCTGAACTTGTTGTGCAGGAAGTCCTGACCTTGTGCCTTTGAGCAGCAAACACATGTGAACATGCAGACAGACAGTGGGACGTGTCTGCAGACGTCTCCCTGTGTTAGCAGAGGAACATGTCCGTCTCATAGATGGACTGAGATCAGAGGTCAAAGGTCATTCTCCTGTACATGTCGGACTTGTTTCACTTGCCTTTGTATAACCTCGTGCATGTAATAAAACAGAAGTAGGTTCTTGATAACCTGCTGAAAGACAGACGTCTTCTGCTCTTTGTGTCCTGATAGTCTCTGAGCTCCAGGAGCTCTCCACAGGAGAACGCTCTCAGATGTCCTCCTCTGGGAGATTGGACGGGCTGACCTGTATCGTTCACAGCTCAGAGTGCTGCTATGGAAGCACCTCAACCTGGTTCTAGGATCTGGTTTGGAGGTGTGGGTGGGGGGGATAGGAGCTCTCTACAGTCTAGAACTTTCCATGTTTCTCTTGAATGTGCTGCTGCTACCACTCAGTAAAAGAACCCCACTGATAATTGATAATTATGGACCTTTTTTCTTTCATCCCTCATCAACATATTTGAAAAAATGTTTATAAACAACTGAATGAATATTTTTAACTTGTAGACCTTACGATAAGAACCAATCACAGCACAGAGAGAGCTCTGAGGATCAGCAGTGACTCACAGACAGTTTCAGTTTCAGTTCTTGTTGATCTCACTGCTGCGTTCGAAACTGTTGACGTGATGATCAAAATGATTGTTTATTTTAGTATTTTCATGCATTATAAGCCATAAAACCTCTCTGCACTGTTACAAACCCTTCGTACACTCTTAAACACACTTTAGAGACAAATCTTAGATATTCAGTGAAGAGTCATCACCTGAGTAATATGGCATCTGTGAAGCCTCTTAAATGTGTGACTAAATGAGAATACCTTGGTGCATAGACTGGATCAGTGCTGTGCTGTTCAGCTATAACATGGTATTTATATTGTTATTAATGTTTTAGACTAGAAGATGCTTATTGCACCACAAAAATGATTAAATTCTAACAACATTCAAATAGCCATAGGCAGCATAATAATACATTTCACACAATATAAATTTACTGATAAATCTGTGGTGACCTCCAAAGGCGAACCGCGATGTTGCGTGGGAGTACTGCACGTCATGCTGCTGAGCTGCATCGATGAGATGAACTACTTGACGTCTGTTTTCAGAGCTGAGCAGAGACAACATGGGAACATTTTTGTTGTTCCAAAATGTCAGAAACAGATTTGTTCATAGTTGTCATCCTTTTCTCTGAAACTCAGGGAGCGAGTCGGAACTTCGGTATCATTTTGACAGTGATCTCAGTTTTGATTTTTACATCAATAAGGCCACCAGACTGGCTTTACATTACTTAAACTATAAAAGGATATATATATATATATACGGTTAGAAAACTCCACCCATCCATTTTTCCCCGCTCCCCAGCCAGCTCCTCAGGCTTATCCAGGGCAACACTACAGCGTTCGCAGGCTGGCTGGGAGATGTAATCTGTCCAGAGTGTCCTGGGTCTGCCCAGTCCTTCCACTGGGACATGCTTGGAACACTCCGGAGGTGCCGAGGAGGCATCTCCGTCAGAGGCCCAAACCACCTCAGCAGAGTGTGAGAGCTGGAAAAGTTTGGTTTACAAAAGCTGTGCTGGCAAACGGCACGGGGACTGCACTGATTTTAGATCACTTTAATAGTTGATTGCATACTGAGCACTCAAAATAATAGAAAAGGTGTTTGTGCAGACTTAGAGGAAGGCGTGCAGGAACGAGTGTAACAGCAGCTCTCACAGAGAGCTTCAGGCGAGGGACACCAGACAACAGATTCAGATGTTGCTGATTTGTAGCAACATCTGAATCTTACGTTAAAAAACTGCTTTATCATCAGAGAATTTAATCACATAGTTGTTCATATGATGATTTCTGCAATTGTTTGCATATATTTGAAAGAAACGAAGGCTTCTTTGTAACCTGTGTGTGTGAAAGACTTTCACCTGCTGTTGTCTTTTATTTGCACACGTTGCTGTTACTGGTGAAGCTGGTCTGGACTGGTGCTGAGTGAAATGCATATAATGGTTCCTGGGTAAGTTTGTCATCTTTTGTCTTTGAGTTCAGGTCGTCCGTCTGTTTGGCGCTGTTAGTGCTGCTGCGTCACTGTAAATGCACACGTCATTGCATGTGTTTGCTTCTGCAGGCCATGTCATGTCAGAGAGCTCCGTAGCTACGAAGCACGATTTCGCCATAATCTCCTCCTCTGCTCTCCTCCCAGGTTTCAAACAGGCTAAACTTTATTAACACAGCCGCTCTTCTCCAGTCTTTATGACCAAACTGTGAGACGACATCATGTTTTTCTAATGTTTTGTTTATTCTTTCTGTGAACAATCAGCTGCTCTGCTGACGGCACAGTCATCAGCGTCATTGGTCTCTCGTGTGAAACTTTACCATCTGATAACTGGTTGTCCTGATCTCCGGTTAGGATAAGTGAATCCAGACAACAGAAAGCGATACCCTGCACGCGCTGAGCTCACTCTGAGTGCACGTACCTGTACTTTGATTTGTGCTTTTGGTTCTGAGGTCGAATCTTTCTGCACACATCCAGGCAGCTCCTCCTGGGTTTTGAAGCCTGCACTTCGAGTTTTTGGTCTTTCTAGTTCTACTCGTTAGTCGTCATTGTGCTGTTTGTTTTTCCCGTCTTTGATTTTATTACTTTTTATAGTGTTTTGAGTTGTGACTTTGTTGTCCCTGTTTCTGTCTATTCATATTCCTGGTGTAGAGGCTCAGCCGACGCTTGAATCCACGGAGGTGTTCGATGGTTGGGGTGACGCGGTGCCACTGTTATCAGTGAAACTCTACTCATCCTGTCTGTATAACATCTTTAATACATTCCTGTATTTGTTGTTCAACAGTATCCAACATCACGTAACATAAATCACAAACCGTTTGCTCCGTCCGACCAACAACACCTCACATTAACTACGTGTGTCTACCTTAAATACAGTCACATAAACACACAAAAAGTTTCACACATAAGGTAACATCACAAAATGGTTCCTACACCTGGCTTCATAGTCCTGGTTTGTATGCATCGTGCTGTCAGTTCTTCCTGTCTTCTTTGGGTAACTTGGATCTTTGGGCTTTGCTGTTCCAACACGTGAGGTATAAGAACAGGAACAGATGAAGTATTTAGGTCCCAGTGACACAAAACAACAGAAGTTAAAAATATTATGTATATGTAGAAAAACAATGCAAGCTAGCAGGGGTATAAATAAGACAAGGATACAACATTTAAGAGGAAGATATAATTAAGGTGAGGATTGTTGGATAAGCAGAAGAGAATGAATGGATGAATGGACAGACTTGGCCAGAGGCACGTTTGTAATGACATGTAATGAAAATTGTTACCACAAGGAGGCAGCGTGTGACCAGTTTGTGTGCCGATCATTGTTTTAATCCATCAAGTATCTCGGTGTCCACATCTCCTCAGACCTGACATGGTCTGCCCACATCCAGGTGCAGTCCAGAAAGGCCAGGCAGCGCCTGTACCACCTACGACAACTAAAGAAGCTCAGGGTCTCTCCAGCGATCCTCAGGACTTTCTATACAGGCGCTGTGGAGAGCATCCTCACACAGACCAGCTGTGTCAAGGATAAAAAAGCTCTTCGTAGACTGCTCCATACGGCAGAACGCTTTCCCTGTACATGACATTTAAATCAGAAGATGCTGAACCAGAGCCGCTCAGATATGGAAGGACCCATCCAGCAATAAACTGTCCCAGCTTCTGTAATCAGGCACCATGCAGGCTAGAACAGAGAGGCTCAAGAGGAGCTTCTATCTTTGCCCCCCAAGCTCCATCAACCATAAGTGACTGAGACAGGACTCATTGTTATCACATCCTGATCTGGCTTCACTTTCACACCCCACTCTCACAATGTACATTCTCGAATTTCGAACTGCAAATTTCCAGATTGTTTTATTCTATTGAATTTACTTGATGTATATAATTCACTCGCTTACTGCACATAATGTCCTCTTTGCATGTATTTACTATAATGTTCTCTGTTTCTGCACAGGAGCGCATCAGGTCACATTTCACTGCATGTTGTGCTTGTATGCAGGTTGTTTCTTTGAGCAGCTTTGTCCTGATCCGCTGTTCAGAGGTCTGACTGGTTCTGTAGATTAACAGACTAACATGTGTCGACTTGTTTGCGTTCTTCTGTGAGATGCTGCTTTTGGCCATGCAGCATGTTGTGGCTTGTTTTACCAACAGGGGGCAGTGTCTTGTCAGTGGATGGTTTTTATATTCCCTTTGGCCTGCGCCCATGTCTTTACAGGACTTTAGATAGAGCAGCATCAGCCCTCTCTCACAGATGCTGTGTCAGTGTGTCACACTGTGTTGATGCTATAAGTAACTTTAGAAAGTTTCCAGCTCAGGATTCCCTGCAGATGAGTGAAAAGTCACTTTTTATGGTATTTCTCGAATACACAGATCCCTGAAAATGTCATTCCCATTATCAGTATCATACCCAGTAAAGCTCCCAGTAGAGCTCCTGATGTAGGTGTCAGCTCACCACCACAGCTAAAATACCCAACAACACTCCCGAGAAATATTCCCAACAATCCGCTCTTCTCAAGAATAGCCAGTCTGTTTTCTGATGCTTTCCTCCTGCGGTCGTCTTTGCTTCGCTCCTCGTTCGCAGCTTTTTCAGCCGCCTGGAGCATCTGAGGCGTGTAGAAGAAGTCCGAGTAATCTTGTCTCTCCTGAGTTATCTTCTCCAGCAGCTGGGTGACTTGAACAGGGCTCCTGTCAGCAATGTTAAAAATAAAATATCTCCACTGGCACCGTTCAATCAGTTCCCTGAGGTGCTCATTGTCTTTCATGCCCTCTTTTATGTCAGCTTCGTTCCCTCCCGGATCGTTTTTGTGGGTGAACACCACCGTAACGTAGGCCACTGCACGTTTGCCAAAAGTGCGTTCAAAAACCTGCAGTGCTTTTAACTCTTCAGATGTGATGATTTTGAGCCTTTCCACCAACAGGAACACATGAGGACCAGGTTCAACGTTTTCAGTGGCCCACTTGATCTCTTTCACCACGTCCTCTTCACTTGATCCCATTTTAAACAGACCCGGAGTGTCCACAACAACCACGCTGTGACTGTCAGAGTCTGTCTTTCTTTCCACGTGGCAGGTCTTTGTGCGCTCTCCATGAGGATCGCTCAACGTGAATGCAGCACTGTCCCCCAGGATGATGCCTCCTAGCGTACTTTTCCCAACAGTCGTCCTCCCGAACAGGACGATCCTCAGCTCTGGAAGCTCCTGCTCATCTGTTACAAAAAGGTTTGCATGTGAGAAAAGTCCCACTCTTGTGTCAAACTGTGGAATCACTTTACCCCAAAATGCATCTGCTGACCACAAATTCATGAGCAGTTTTCTCAAAGAGACATTTCGAATGACCTTCATAGGCCACGTGCTGCACTGACATCGATATGCATGTAATAGTGCACACATGGAAACTTAATAATTCGATATACGCACAAAAATAAAAATGCATCTAAATTCATTCATTCACGATGAAGTGAAAACAATCGGAAATATTTTAGTTTCAAAGACTTTTCTCGGCAGATCAATCAAATATGTGCAAACAGTCTGGATTCAGTGTTGAAGCTTCTCCATGCAGCTTCTGGGTCAGATCCGGATTGGTCGAGAGCTGTTTGTACCTCAGAGCTCCAACATGAGCACAGTTTGTGGGCTTTTTAAGGACTCATCACAGATTCTCAGTCAGATTAAGCTTTGGGGAGTCTTCCGGCTATTTGGGCCCAGTGGCTGATACTCAGCATGAAGAAGGGTCAACACTGTGAATGCTGCCTCTGCATACATTTGATTTATTTTCTAATAAAGGTTTTGGAAACTTAACATAACAAACACCATCACTAATAGGGCCTGTAATCTTTTTTCCTTCATGGAAAACCCTACTATGCTAACAAGTTAGCATTTACAGATTAAAATGAAAAAACAAACTGAAGTTTCAGACACGACTGAAGTTGTTTAAAGGATTTGACTCAAAGGACTGAACATCTGTCATGCAGCATGCTTGGATTGTCCATTACTTACTGTGAAATAAAAGGTGATTACAATAATTTTATTAGCTGGTTACTCGGCAGTAATTCTTCAAACTAAACTCTCACTGACTGCACTCGGATATGAATGCAGACTGGAGCTAATCTGACACTAAACTGAGCCAAACAGCAGCCTGAGTATCCCTGCAGGACAACCTCACCTTCATTCTCTGGATCTTCATTGATCATCACCGAGCTCTCTGAAGGCTCAGTGCTGCCCATGTCTTCATCTGGCTGCTTAAATTTCCATCTCACCTCTATTTCACCATCCGCGGCTCGTTTCCTCACATACAGCACTTCAGCTGTTCTAGGGCAGGAAGTGTGGCACAAAGCAACCAATCAGAAGGCTGAAAAAGAGTGCATCATGCAGAGTGCATTTCCACAGGTCTGCCTTTTCACCCATAACAGTTACATGACTCCATGAAGACATCACAGTAACACATCTGTTCACAGTTTCATTTAAACCCTAACAGTGGCAAATTCAAAACAAAAGTTTCACATTATGAAAAATGATTTTGTCTTTTTTGACAGTTATGTTTGCATTTTCATATCTGTAAGACAGATTTACAGCTGGAAACAGAAACAACCTGCTGTCAAAAGCAACACATCTATAGAAAGCACAGACAACACCTTATTAAACCTGGACAAATGTGAATGTAGAAGAACTATTTGTTCATTCATATAAAATAAGACAACCCTAAAAACATGCCGGGTTCTGGGGCGAGTTTGATGGTCCTTCCTTTCTCTTTGGCAGAGTCACTCTCCCAGGCTCGCTCACTTCTTCCTCATTGCTTCACTTTGTAAATAAATATGTTTTTTCTTGTATCTTGATGTCTGAGTCTGCTCCTAGTTTCCAGTTAGAGTAAAATCATGAAAAAGTTACCAGCAGTTACAGTGTGTAGAATCTCACAGCCTGATGTCAGTAGACTGCAGATTGCAGTGAAACGTTTTCTTACTCCAACCAGTTTAGGTGCTTAATCCTAGCTGGGTGGAGGCTATAGGACAAACATGTTTTAGACAGCCAAGATAGATCAGAAACAATAAATCTGGTTTGTACCCCATGAAGGCCAAGGCCAGCTGGCTTGTTTCTACTACTGTTTGGACCAAACCCTGAGTTTTTCCCTGTTTGTGGAATGCTGTCACTCTGCTGTTGGTGCTGGTTGTGCAGCATCTGCCTTCATTTACTCAGGAAAGGACATGAGACAAGCTCACTATTGCGGTGAGTTTTTGAGGATGTAGTTAACTTTTCTTCTTAAAAGCTGCTGTTTTCGCCACAGCTGCTGTTACACTCTTTTGGCTGCTGTTAGCCTCTGTTAGCTGCGGTTACACTCTGTTGGCTGCTGTTAGCCTCTGTTAGCTGCTGTTACACTCTGTTGGCTGCTGTTA